CAGCTTCAGGATTCTTCTTGGTTTGGTCTCGCCTCCAACCCATTTACCAAGTCGTATTACTTTTGTAATATGTACTCCTGAAACCTCTTCAGGTAGTACATTCCTTACCACAGACTCCACTAACTGCAGGTCATGTTCATGTCTTCTAGGAGGGTCGTTGTCTTTCGACTCCTCTAGATTCCAAATAATTAAACTAGGGAGGGGTTTGGCTTCTTTTGAAACTGTGTTCACAGCTTTCGACCGTGACGTTAGATCCTGTATTTTAACTACTGGTATCTTACGATTAGTTTTTATTTTAACAGAGTCCTGGGAGTCAAGCGAATGACTCACAACAATGTCAGACGAAGCTTTACTATGAGACTTTGGCGGATTGGCCTGAGAGTCCACCAAGGACTTACCAAGTAAACAGTCATTAGTTTTAGCTATATTTCCTACTCTTCTGCGTTTTCGTGTCATCCATTTTCCATCAGTCGAAACGCCTACATTAGAACAACTCGGGACAGTAATTGTTTTATCTGGGTCACCGGTTGCTGCTGTAGCAATATGGCCACCAACGTCTAATGACGTGTCACTCACTGAACGTTTCGGGGGAGAACGTTTAACTGCGGGTTGCACAGGTAGATGTCTGGCTTGCGCCGTGATAGCACTTACGACACTAACGCAGTCTTCGCCATCAGTACCAATGTTATCAGTACAGCCTTCATCAACCTTCTTATTAGCCAACACCAGGGGACTAATTGCTTCCTGGATAAGCAATGTTTTACTTGAGCAACAAAAACTACAAAGCCAATGAGAGTTGGGCTATGAACACCTTTTATATGCATCAAATCATTTCTATATCAGACAGCAAATCAATAGATGTTTGGCAATTCACCGAACAATACCAAGTTCAAGGGATGACAAATAACTTGTCAGCTAAATATCGACTTTCCTACTAAATAGTCAATAAATAGAATTCACTACATCCACACAAGACTCATGTTTTATCCATCAGCGTTTTCGAAAGAATGTTTGATCAACTGAGATATCATCATTACCAGGACTAACACAGGTAATCTAGTTTCCTGTCATAACGAAAATACAACTGAAGATAAATTAACACTTGGATGAACACACTATCAGTGAATAAAGTAATAAATCAGTTTGAATTTCCCAAAATATGATTCAAATGTTTCACTGTTTATTGAAGGCACTAACTAAGGTGATGATTGTTTTATTTTAGAAAACTGTACTTACTTATTGAAGGAGTGGTTAAGGCCCTGACTTGAAACTCCCATTTAATTAATTATGGGTCCAAGTCGCTCTGGTGTCGAATCTTCAGTTCAAAGGACCACAGGTGAATTGATTCCTGGTATCTCAAATATGCCTTGTGAATATAAAGTGGGGAAACTAAATATATTCCTTATTTCTTGAAAAAAAGGGCATAATTTAATTATGCCCATGACGTTGTTGGACAATAATTTTCCATGCAACGTTCTTTCATTTTACTTATGTTTTAAAACGAAGAACTGACGAGGATATTTCAAAAGGTTCACTGGCGTAAGACCAAATACTCATCGTCTGATTACCAATTTTTCGACTGACGCTACATTTTATGAGACACTCAAAAGAAAGTTAGCCCAAATGAGATCCTTTCATCATTCGGACCACAAAAGATCATTCATCTGCCTAAATTGAAACTGGATATTGAACCCATGAATTTCTTGATCGGCATTCTATGAGAACATTCATACGAATTTTTACGACGCTCAGTAATTGGAAAATAATAAACTAATGACATGTCGAAAAGTACATCATGTGTTCTCATGTATGCGTTGTCGTAAAAATTACTTACCCTGAGTTTTGGTGCGAGCAGAGAAATATCTCCAATAGAAAGAAGGTTGTTGGATGATAAGTAGTAGTTGCTATACTTAAGTATAGTTACAAAGCATAGAGGCATAATGCTTGGATTTTTTCTGCTGAGAGGATTAATACTCTGTATTTTCAAAACTTGACGGTTTGTAGTTGATTGATCATATCTTTCGTTGAAGAATGCTTACTGAAGATATTTTTCAAACCTTAGTCTCTGTAACGTGATAACTAAGATCCCGTGAAATATAAATTAACATTTTGTGGTTCAGACGGGCTATCCAGAAATTTTGAGTTTCACCTAAAGCTTTATCTTTGTAGCTTTTTGTAGGTCAGAAAAAGTGAGTGTACTGATTTCATAAATGAATGTCTACGAATCTTAGTCTGTAAGAAACAACGATGTTTCTATGTCTGACCACAAACTTATACACAGACTGGTTTATACCGAATTACTACTTGATCACCATGGACTAATGTAGAAGTAAAATGAATATAGGTCGATAATCGCGTTTTATATTGTAAGCAAGTTTGGAAGTTGAAGCAAACAAAGAAACATATGATATCCAGACACACAGAAAAGCACTATTGTAAAGATTATGTATAAAAATTATAAGAAACGTAGTAGAAGATCACTGACTGAAGAGCACATAAAGAACCGTCTTTTAGGTGTTAATTACCAGTAACACTCGATTATGAAGAGCAGTCTGTCTAGTGTGACGTTATTCTCAAAACCCTCTTATAACGATGTCATTGAGCATGATATAGTATAGACGTTTGAAGATGTGACAGACGTATAGTGTTTAAAAATATTGTCATCCAAAACGTCAAATACGAAAATCGCCGAAACCAGTTTGAACAGAAATCAACGATGGAGTTAGAAGATACATTTAAATAAGGGTCTGTGTACTGAGTGGTTGTCGTAAGAGATGTGCAGCATAGAGAGCTTGAGTGTTATCTTGTGACAACACATGACTGAGAACCGTCAACTTGGATATGTCCACTAAAAACAAGTTGGCATCAATGTCAAATACCTGAAAAACTACGTAGTTTGGGGATTAATTTGTGACTTTTCTTCTCCAGGTCTCAATAAAATACCATCCTATTGTAGATTAACGACATCACGTTTATCCAATTTAACATGGTTCAAACTAGGAGAATAACTTCAAGAAATGAATAGAGAGGTTATGCATAGTCAGAAATTAGTAGCTGTACAACATCACAGACGGCCAGTTTCCTGAAGATAGCTGAACGTTTGGTCTAATATATTCACGGATTTAATAGTTCTTTTTATTATTTTTAAACACCTATCGTATATTATTGGCTTTTAGAATCTAATTGCTAAGAAATCAACAGGAGATGGCGAAGCAGAAGGATGATTAGTGGTTACCACTGAAAACGTGAAACATGGAGTGATTTGAACTATAAAAATATCCACAAATAAAGAAAACTTAGACAGTGTTTAATCTTGTTAAGAAGTATTCGAAATCTCCTCTTTACAGTAACATTTATTGGACATCCTTCACTTGACATAAGATTGTATTACTGATTCTTCTGTGCATCTAACGTGACATTAATAAGACTCAGGTTTTAACCTGACTCGCTGAACAAAGAACTCACACGTTTGTTTATAAGTTATTTTTTCACCCAGGATATAAAGCCTATAGTCCCTGGTAAAAGTGTTATTCACATAGCTGGTGTTTGTGTGTTAAGGAGTTTACAAACCGTTGCCTTAATAAAGAAAATATTACCGTCAAATATTTTAGACAGAACGACACGTCTGCACATTCAGTGAAGAATCTTTGAACCCTAGACAAATTTTACTCCGGGTTGAACGCATCGCTACCTTGTAGGACTGATTACCAGACGTTGAATTATATAATGAGTTGTCTTGAGGTTGAGGTAAATTAACGTCTATTGATTAGATCTAAGATATTAATCGACCAGTGCGTTACTGCGTCCATACTTTGTACTTCCATAATCTTTTTCGTTGAATACGGGATATTATTCTGGAAAGTCTTCATTTATCCTACAATTGCATCATAAAATCAGAATAACCTGGCTGGTAAAATAGAACGAGTCAGATCGGAGTACCTGAAAGATTGTATGATTGATATGCAATTACCGAAGTGGCCACACTATTCTGTTCATTTTCAATATACTAAGGACCTACATTCATGAGCCCAAAGTGATTATCGTCTGTTTTGACGTATGCTGATATGGTGGTCAGACTATATTGTCAGGGTTGCTAAATATGCAAATTTTCACGTCTAACCCGATAAATTTTCAGCTAGGGACAATGTAAGGAACGTTTTTAAGGATAGCTGCAAAACAGAAGAAATGAATGAATCGTAATATTCTTGAAAGTACTGACGTGAGATATTGGATCGGTTACATTAATTCCTCTGGCTAAAAAGTACTATCCCAGTTCCAGTGGCACTATAATCAGTGTTAGGAAAAAGATGACACTTCGTCTTAGACTAAATATCTACATGACCACTTGATATATAACAATATAGTTCATTAATATAATTAACAAAAAGTATAAAGGAAGCCGGGATTACTAGTGGATAGAGATAAGGAAGCAAAGGTCGTCCTAGAGACAAAAACGATGAAAGCTGTTGAGAGCGACAGAAAGTTTTAACTCAACTTTTACGTCTAAAACCTATTACGATACCTTTGTAAGGCATGCAGTTGTGGTGATTCATAAAAATGAGTGAACTTGTCTTAAATAAGTGCTTGCGATCCAATATATCAACGAGTTAGTCACCTAAGGATCAAAACACACCCCTGTGAATCCTCTCCAAAATTGGAATTAGTCAGATCTGTTTAATTTAAAGGAGAGTTGATAGTTTCTCGATACAAATTATGATGAAATCAAATGATAAAATCTTTCATCAAGGAAAACTTACTTAGGAAACCGATCTGAATGAAGAATCCCCTAATTTAAAACATCAAAGTGACTTAAATTCAGTAAGAACATTATAGCAATACGAAGGCTATTATGTAAAACTTTCATCATTCACATTCGTCATTATTGTTTTAGATTAATTCATAATAGGAAATTTCAAACAAAAGAAGCAAATATATTCGTTAATAATTCTGTTGATTTATATATAGCATGAAAGTAAACTTACATAATAAAAATGTAATTTCATGGATAAATAAAGAAAACGATTATGATTTAATGTAATACTAAAAATTGATTTGAAGATTAGGAGATAATTCAAGAAAAACAGTAAGTGAATATAAAATTTTATGATTAAATTAAAACGATGCATAAGATTGATATATGTATTACAGTTTGTAATAATAATAATAAAAAAGAAAACATTACACTATAAGGAAAAGTGTTAAAGAAAATAAACTGAAATGAAATTATGAAAAACAAATTATTTGATGTGGTTTCATATGATCAACTCTTGACATATTTAATAGTATAATAAATCCAATCATTGGACAATTAGTTTCATCATCATATACAAGCTAAAAGTTGATGAATAAAAGAAAAATAATATCTTGAACTTTAGAACTATTTAATAATAAACATATTCAGAAACTTTTTATTCCGAATTCGATTTTTTTTGTTATGAATATTTAATATATGAATTGCTATGAATTAAAATGTTATACAATTTATAATGATATTGTGAAGAAAGCTAGAAGTGACCACATCAACTCGTTAATTTGTCAATTATTATATTAAGGCATGTTAACAGGCGTAAACATTCTGGTTCAAGAAAATCTAGACAGTTATTTCATTCTAATACAGGACTACTCAAAAGTGCATACCCTCACTGGGAATCGGACAAGAGACCCTCAGTGTTTAATGGTCAGTCAGCTACAATGTAGGACCAGGCACATATGTACATCGGTCCAAGTTGCCATACCTCATTAAGACAACAAGATGAACACCGGATTCATAAAATTAGTTAATTCAGTGGTGGTAATATATAAAAGAAAGATTGCACCTTGACGTGGTGGTCGGGCTTGCCTATCGTGATGAAGCAACCGAGCTATACTAGCTGGGACAACCGTTCCTCAAGAACCTACCATATCAGACAGGTCAGTTGAAGAGCGATAAGATTAAAAGCAACAAACTCAAGGTCCGAAGGCGAAGTCGTACTGCTGACTGTAGAGAGGTGTGACAGCAGTAAGGTGTTTCCTTCAGACAACCAGCACAACAGCGATACTGCCTTCCCACAAGGAGGAGTGCGGTTAGAAAAGGTCGACCCTAAAAATGCACACCTCGCCTTATCCCACGGATTTCCGTCTCCGGCGGTAGGGTCTCAACAAGTACGGAGCTAACACAAAAATTACCCATAAAAAGGTCATGTGTGACCGACCTCAAGCAATTGTCGCTTGGGCACTGCAGTTACGCTCCCAGGTCACTAAGACCACCCTCTAAGCCAATTTCCTTTTCAGGTAAATCCAGAAGAACCCTTCCACGGTGTGGGCAACCGGCAAGTGATAACCACCCTCATACCTCTAACAGCACTCAAGATCACTGTATTCATAATCAACCTCCCTCTTCAATTCCTATTATTCCTCCTACATTGACTTTCAACGCTAAGCTTCCTCTTTCGGCCTCCCCCTCAAGTGTCACCATAGCCAAAAACACTGTCCCAGGTCCCAGTTCTCGTGGACTGGCAGGTGTGGGCATAGTACTAAGCATGAAGGCGGAACAAGCACTGTTAGAGTGGATCGCCATTAACAGTCGTTTATGTGCTGTTCGGCTAAACGGCTCCGTAAGAACTTTGAAAGATAGGGACACACGTCGTTGCTTTCTTGTCGTTTTAATAGTCAATAGTACCATAACTGGGGTTAGTCTGTTATAAATCCAACTGATAAATTGAACTAGTCTCTTTAAAACTCTTTCAATTAATGTATACGTACATAAATTCATTTTTATACATTACCTGTAATAAATATGTACTTTCCAAAGCCAAATTTATAAGTTCTTCAGAATCTAATTTTGAAAGATTTGTCAATAATTCTGTAAGATATGATTCCAATTTTCGTTGACTAATATAAATATTTTCTTGGTTATTTTCCAGTAATTTTAACTAAAAAGAGAAAGTGAAATTTCAGAAGAAGCTTTTTTAGTGACATAATCAAATATCAAAATGATTGAATATGAATAATATAATTCACAAACGAACTGTGTACTTAACAAACCATCTTATTACGTCATTAATGTTGAATATGAAATTGCTTTCATAATGTGATTCATTAATTTGGCATCCAACCACTGTCAAATTATTCGTTTAAATTCAGATGACTTCATATAAAAACTAAATTGACTACTTATTTTTTTCTAAATTTCAGTGATACTTAATCAATAAAACTTGAAAAAATTTATCATAAAACACACAAACTACTGGTGAAACTACTGAAGTCACCTACATTTAAACGGTTAACTATGATTTTCAAAGAAGGAATTAAAATTCATTGACTTTTATTGGGTTAATCATAATAGAACAAGAGTTTTATTAACCCAAAGAGTGAAACAGAATAATCCATAAAAATTATAACTTATTACAAGTCCTACCTTACACTAAATAAATCTATAGAATTATTAATATAATCAAACAATACAGTTTTCGACATATTTATGATATTCTGATATATACATTGTAGTGAACGAGAACACAAGTGGTAACAATTGAATGTAATTGAGTACAAAATTACAGAATATAGTAAAATCTGTGAACCATACAGTGAATATTTCATTTGCAAAATGTCAATTAATCGTCTCAGACTTCACTGTTCCTTTAGTTCCACAGCAATCATTCACTTTTCTTTCTTTAAACCTTTTTAACCTTCTGCCTCCAGGAATTTAACTTTCGGTTGATGATACATACTAATTATATCTGTCGACATCAGTAGCATACACCACAACATAATCAACTACTGGTCTACTACTACCTAGTAACATTTCCTCTTTCGTTAAATATTAATCTGCTCAGAAGTGTTGAACAATGTGACTGTGACACACTGTTATAATATTTTGTATTCCTTAATTAGATCAGCAAATTAAAAAAATAGTTTGTTTCTATGGAGATTTATTTATGTAAGTAGTTTCACTAATTTATGAAAATCATTTGATCTTTATATATTCTATTTTAGTGTTCAATTTCAAAAGCATTATTTTAATTTGCAAATATCTTGTAGGGTAGTGGAATGTCATTGAGCTCTAGCCAAATCATCCGGTGGTTGGGTCTCTTAATGTCGAATAGTTCACCGATCCTCTTCAGAACCAAGGATAACTAAAGCACATCAGTTAATTGCACGCCATGGGCTGGCCTATGAAGAAGTGGTCGAGCTCTGTTCCTTGTACCTACGTATACTAATATATTTCTGTAATAACGTCGTTTGTGTTGTACGGTCATCAACGCAGCCATAGTACCTGGATACGACAAAATGTATATTTGATCGTTTTTTCAAGGGTCATCGGTATTGATATTTTTGTTCTCTTAATTCTCTTTAAGATGGGAAAGTAAACGTTCGATGCGCTAAGTGATAGGAGGCAATCAAGAACCAGTTAGGATCTAAATATAGTATATGGGATGTTGAGTCGCTTGAACTAAGGACTAGATTGCAATCTAACCGATAGAATTTGATCAGCACTACGGATTAGACAAACAAGATTTTATTAATTAGTGTAAATATTTGACAGCTTTTGCAAGTCAAATTCATGATCGATGAGATGCCATTAAACAAAAACGAATGCATTTCCTGTTATAATCATTTTTATGCGAGCTCAGAATAAAAAAAAATCAGAAACCTTTTAAAGATAGGATTTATAAATAAATACTTATTTAAATGTTGTTTATATAGTTTAAATTTGTATAGAATATACGAGCAAGTAAATGATAAGCACAATAGAGAAGACAGATACAAGAAAGCGGTTTGAAGGGAGGGACTTCAAACGTCATCGGTCTGTCTTCGCTTTTAGTATACTATTGTGTGACGCTTTTCAAGGACGTCTTCACATTGTATATATCATGCATGAGTTATGTGCTTAATATCCGTTCTTCCAGGCTGCTTGTCGAACTATTCATTTTGCTAACTGAATCTGGTCTTCTTCCTCTAGTTAGCACGACTGGAGTGAAGAGAAATAGCTTAGTTTGTCCTGTTGTTGATTTGCTGATTTTCGTTTCATTTGCCGGACCAAGGTGATGTCATAATTCATTAAACATAGCACAGATGATGTTGAAATAATTTACAACATAAAATTGCATGTTTATATAACAAAAACAAAATGTAAATATGGATGCTAATTTTCGTATTGGTTGTTTGAGTCTTCCTATTTATGTTAAAGATTGAAATTGATCAGTCTCATATTGGCATATGTGCATAGTGTGCGGATTTCCTCGATATTTCCTGACATCAAAAGCATTATAAACAAAGACAGATACGGGTTAGCCGTGAAATACAAGACGCACGTTTCATCCTATTCAGGACCCATCAGCTGGACGCATCTGCCAATACTAAAATGAATTAAAACTTTACCTCACTGTACAAGCTAGTGGCTATCTGGACCCAGTAGCTAAGTGGGTAACGCGATTGCGTTTGAAGAGAACGGTACTGGGTTCGAGTCTCGAAGTGAAAATCAACTCTGGAATAAAGGCAAACCTAGCTGACGAGTCCCGAACAGAACGAAACGCGCGTCCTGAATTCCACTGCTAGCTACCATCTATCTCTACTTATAATAAATACAAATAAATCTCAGCTAGCAGTGAAAATAAAAACACGCATTTCTTCATATTCAAGACTTGTCACTCGAATATCTCAGGGTTCTAGCGTTGGTGTTCGCACGTGAATTCAAACCCAAAAATTCCCATTTAAAAATCAACGTATTATCTACTAGGTAAGTGAATTCATTTAAACGCTTATCTGATAAAAGAGAACTTGATAAATTGTAATAAAAACAGATTATTTTTAATTATCGTAAATTAATTGACATAAACTTACATTAGTTTCTGTCTCTGTGATAAGTTGGTTGAATGTGAAAATTTTTGTAGATAATTTTAGAGATTTTTTTCTAGAGCAAATACTCTTGAATCTATTTAACACAACAGCACGAGAATAAAAAGAAAAAAAATACGATTTTATCATTAAAACAAATAAGTTAATAATTATAAGTCACTTATAAATTGCTTTAAGAATTACCTGGAGTAATGAGATGGAGTTGATCTGAAAAATGTGACTTTTACCTGCGATAAATATAATTCGAACAAACTGGTCAAATAATTGTCAAAACATTTATATTTCAAAACTAATATAAAGGTCTATTAAATAAATGCTTCTTGAAAGGAAGCACGTAAGTGAAGCAGGTCATAGAATCAACCTTAAAACGGTCTTGAAAGCTTCATACAGAAATTGTAAAGAGTGGATTTTTAAGTTTATAGAAGTTTTGGCCATTAGAAAATTCAAATCTCCTTTATGCGTATAAAGACAATATCCTAACCTTGAATCAGTCATGGTGATTTTCAACCCATTTTAAGGCCTACAATGTGACAACTTCTAATTCTTCCCTTATTGTACTACATCACCCTCATTCCTTTATTTACAATTATCACCTTAAGTTTATTCGACCTTTTCAGTTTCCATATACTAATCAAACTGTTCGAAATCCATTCCACAAACACATCACATTCTTTACATGAACTCTATATTCTTACAATAATAGCAAAATTTATAAGACGGATTAATTGTTTTAAATATTTTAAATGTCTCAAATTAGCATTGTTGGATTAGTGGGAGATGTTTTTTCATCAAAAAAATATCACGGCTAAACATAAATCAAATAATAACAATCTTTAAGAACAAAATATCACCGGTTAAATGAATTATCAATACTAAAAATGAAATTTATTACCAATAACATTTAACGTTTTCTCGAAATAATATATTTTATTTATGCTTTATGACATTCATTCTAGTAAGAAGTCGTGGTTGACGAAATTCAACGGTATCGGGTATGAGAAAGGCAACTACCGAAGACAACGGAATATGATCGTGCAATATTGTGGATTGATTGAATCTAGACAAATTAAGTCAATCTGCATAGGTTGCATACATACCAACTAAAACTGATCTAAACTTCGTCAAAATATCAATGACGGGATAATTCAAGCCATTCCAAACTAAATCAAAAGTCATAGTTTATAAAAGAAACTGTGCATATTCATTCTATATTCTTATGCTTTTCTCATGTAACGAAATTGTAACGAACTGGTGTAACCAACAATAAAGAAGAACAAAAATCAAGCTGGAAATCATCAGTTATCCGTGAAAATGAATTAATAACCTTCTAATGTGGTTAAGCAAATGTGTGGTCCAAACAGTTAACAGCTCCATTTTAACCCATTTAATTTAGACGGGACATACCGCTAATGTGGAGTAATCTTTCGCAATAATATATCGTGTTGACAGCAGTCAACTTAATTCCGTTAGACTGAGAATCTTGCAAACGACTGAAACAATTGCTATTCGGATTAAAAAGCCAAAGCTTAGCAGGACTGATAGGTCCTGGGTTTGAATCCCGCGAGGCGGGGTCGTGGATGCGCACTGCTGAGGAGTCCCACAATAGGACGAAACAGCCGTCCAGTGCTTCCAGGTTTTCCATGGTGGTCTAGCTTCAATTGACTCATGATTTCAACTGTTTAAATTACATTATTCTTTCACCCCATGTTGACCATATTTAATCTGATTATTTATCTCACAATTTTATTTCAATTATAAACTGATTCAGGTTAACACTTTATATTAGTCAATCCCAACATTAACAATTTGATTTGATTTTATATGACAAACAACAATTCTTGATTCATATATTATAATTTTAAATGATGTACTCTGCTTTAAATCTGGCCAATTTTATGGATTATTAATTTGGATTTATGAATTGTAGAATCTGATAAGAAATTCATTGAAAAGACTATTCTTCGTTCATATAATTGTGTTTCAATATAACGGGAATTTTTCAGCAAATAATAAAGTGTACTAACATTTGTACATTTATTTGTTAAATTATTTTTTTTTAAATAGAGAAAACCATAGCGAAAAATTTAAACAAAATAATAACTTACATAATAGTTGTGGATAAAAATGGATTACACATCAAATGGTTAGCAACTGGCAAATCAATCTGTAAATTATTTAATCAATACAATATAAGGTTTATATACATTTTTTGGAATAATTATATTTTCAATGGTAACAATAATTAAGAATCTTCAAACAATAGCATAATAATGTTTTCATTCATTTTTCTCTAAATAGATTCCTTCATTTTTGAAGACGTTTTATGTTCTGGATGTTTGTTGTTGTGTATTCTATACTTATCTACCCCGTACTAACTCATATATTTGGTTCCGAGCCACATTCTAAGTGCAAGGGTTAGTGATTCTATTTGACTACCAAAGTAGATGCAGAAGGGTTCAAACCTATCACTTGGTGAATAAAAATTAAAAGATTTAACCATAGGATCATGGCTCTGAGTATAGACCACCCAGCCCAGAAAACATAACACTTAGAATCATCATTCAAAACTGCAAACATTTTAGTAACGTGATTTATTGTAGATAGTCATAGACAAGTTTAAGAAACATGAAACTTACCCTCAAATTCATAATAAAACATTTTTCAGGTTGATTTCTAAGAATATGTGGCCAATTTATATCAATATGTTGAGGTATAATATCAGATTGATTTGAATCCATTTGGGAGTGAACTACACTAATTGGTGAGGATGAGTTAAGTATAATCAAAGCTTGCTAAAAGAAGATAATAAATTAAAAAAATGGATTCCATTCTTAAAATTTGGTATATTCCTGTATTGGATAATTTTCAATTTGATATATACCTGTAATTCAAAACTATTGAAGTATCACAGAATTCAAAAGAAGCATTAATAAAAGTTACTGACAACATAGTGAATTAAAATATTTCTTTTAGTTTTACACCAAAGACCGAGCTTAGTTAGACTATCATTAAAAACAATAAAACACTGAATGGACATTTCACAAATTTATTGAAGTTATAAGTACAGTCTATTGGATGCTAGTTCAATAATCTAGAGGCCTGGCGTTCTGCGTGAGGCCTAGGAGTTCTGCATTCAGGCCTTGGTGAGATGAATGTGGACAGCTATCTGGTGCTTCCTCGTTTCTGATGTTTGTCTAACTAAGGTCGGTAAGTGATGTAAAACAAAAGCATTTAGCAAGATCTAAAACCACCCATACTAAGAAAACTTTTCTGATTATCCCGTATGCCAATGTAAGACTACCAATTAAAATGTAAAATGTTTAGAGGCACCATATCAGATTGCAGCACATAAGTTTTTCTTAAGTTACAGATACGCTTTAAAAACATTCTTGGAGCCATGTTTCAGTGTTATCGAAGATTTTGCGTATCGCGGATTAGTGACCAGAACACATACCTAATTAACAAAAATAATAAGGACTAAATGGCCTGAATCCTAACTTTGTTTACGATTTGGTAACTAAAGTACAGAAATATAAAATAAATATAAAAGTCTATATACAACCGATACCTCTTAAAGACACCATGTTGCCATAAATAAAGTTTTGAATGATAGGATTTGTTGTCAACAAAAATTTTGCCAACAAATTGTCCCAATAGGCTCATAACAATTGATGAACAATCAAGTTCAACTGATTTTTATTGTTTCATTTATTTTCCTTAAATGAGAAGTATTTTAATGATTCGAAGAGTTCAATACTAATCAGTAGTATATATATGAAAGATTTACTACTATAGGAAAAATGTAAAAATCCATCAGTTCACGCTATCATTTCAAAACGATGGATAAACAGAACAGGGTTCGTTAAATTAATATCTATACAGAAAAAGCTGACGTATAAAAACGGTTATTTATTATTTGATCCGTTGAAATGATAAATAGCTATAAAGATTCATTGCTATGGCTATATTTAGCATCGGTTTTTACTTGTGTGTTGATTTGTTTATCACTTGTCGACTCATTTTATGAAAATATGAATAGTAAACACAGTAAACTCCGCCTGTGGCTTTTTTAGAGTTACTGTCCGTCCCAAGCCTGGGTAAAAATGGAGAGTTGGGATGGAGTCAGAAACCCCTTCCTATAGAAAACAACTTTGCTATAAAAAAACGCTGACTAATAGGAAATACAGTCATAATATATCATATCAAATGTCGAAATACAATCGATTTGATCTTTTGTCAAATATTCACAGAAAAAATGTCATTGGTAATAATTGAAAAATATTTCTTAGATACAATAATCTATGTAAAATGTAATAAATAATTCTTACTTCATTTGTAGAATGATGAGCCTGAGCAGAATTACACATGTATAAATCATAATACATAAGGTGTATTTGATCCGTTTGAATAATACTTAATTGATTAGAAATATTTAACTTTTTCAAATCTGTATATTCAGGAGAGGTGACTGGAAGTTGATTTTGTAAAATAAATTAAAACAAAATAATCGAATATAATGAGAGTTATTTAACTTTCGACAAAAATATCAATGAAGTCATTTTCTACGATATTGTTCATAATGCACAACTGAATTATGAATTTCTTAAACATTTCACATTTTCCAAATTATTTTTACATATCGTTTTGTAAAATTTTAGAAATAGCTTATAACATAGTTTTGTTGTAAAGTGGGATTTTCCTAGTTGGAAGAAAATACTTAATAACGTTTCATTGAAATCACGGATCAATTAAACTTAGATAACCACCGAAAATCCAAAAGCACTGGACGGCAGTTTCGTCCTAGTATAGGACTCCTTTGCAGTATTTATCCACAACCATGAAAGAACGAATCGAGCCTAAAACCTACTTGTCTAGCACATTAATGTATTTAGTTTTTATAATTGTGCTCACTAGTGATTTGGCTTCAAAGAGGAATGATCTTGCATTCACCAGAAATGAAACAGAATGGGCGGTGTTTTGAAAATGAAATGTATGAAATTTTATATGCCTACTATATCTTCGCTTAGTAAAAATAGAATGCTAGCGGACTATCAAAATAGCATCATATAAAACTTTACAACTAAGCTTTATACTACTAACTAGTAGTCAGATTATTTGTAAATTTTTATTAAGAAATAATCCAAAACAGACCTAATATATAAAATAATCTGAATTTTATTGGGTTTTTTTTCATTCAACGGACGTATTATAACAGCAACAGATGACATTAGCAATACCGTCTACGGTATTTACTAACAGCAGAAATATGCATAACCACAGTCACTGACATTTTCAAGTAATCGTTTATCCACAATCAACCTCTTTTAGTCTCAGGATGAAATAAATGAGGTAAACAAGTTTTGGACAAAAAGTAATAAACTCAAGTGTGTTTGAAACGAGATTTCAGAATTTACGGACAACTAATTAATTTGTTGGGATATTAATTTCCCAGAAGATTCATTTCAGCAACTTAAAGCATATTGACTATGGATTACTTTATAATTGTGAAACATGATCTAAGAAGATAGAAGAAATACTTAGAATGGAGGTTTTTGATCATAGGTATCTTCAAAGAATTGCTCACATTTTGTGTCTGGCTAAGTGAACAACATCCAGATTAAGTATACGGTATTGGGCAAAGGTAGGAAATCAGCTGGGAAGGTTTTAAATTTTCACTGACTGAGATGGTTAGGAAATTTGTGACTGGTTTAACTAAACTTATTTCTCTAGCATACTTCGTGAAATCAAGTAAAGGTATATATATTTAGGGGTTTAAATTTATAAACCTAGTTTCTGATGTGAACTAAATTCAGAATTAAAAGCCTTCAGAAACCTATACCTTTAAAATCATAATTTGCTCACTAATGATTAAACTCAAAATGGATCCTTGAACTTCTCGTGACATACTGTGACAAATGAAATTCAACAACTGTGGAAGTGATATGGATATTATCGATTGTTGTGGATATTATTTATATAATTCCTTACAGCGAATCACTCTGAACCATTGAACGTGAAACCTGAAAGCCTTGAGTTTAATACTCTATGGAGTACTGAGTGACCGCTGTTGAAAATTTCCAGAAAGGAATAAAATAATCGCTTAACATTCAATGCTTTGCAAAATTTTCGATCTAGATCCATGATCTAAAGAGACTTTAGTTTATGCGACATATTATTTAAGTCCCCAAATCTAAGTAATTATCAAAATCCAGGAAATGAATAAACCGTAGAAACAAGAATTTAATTTACCTTGTGATAAAAATGTCTCAACGCTAAATGATGTATTCTTTTCTAGTTTAGAATTCGAATTTCCCACACTAAAGTTTGATTGCTCATTATCTTCATGAATATCTGTAGATGGGGAGAAACCACATAAATCTGAATCATAAATATCATCGAATGAATATTCAGCCGATTCTTTTGATCGTCGACGTGCTAACACTTGAATATGACTTGATACTTGTTTTCTTGTCCTAGTTTTGCCCGTTCTAAGCTTGATATATCGTGCAATTAATTCATTTCGCCCTGTATTTTAGCAAAATAGAAAAAAATAAGCATATATTTAGATGACAATAAAAACTACAAACTAGTGAACACTAAGAAAGTATGATTGAACGAAATACAGTATGTTAAAATAATGAACAATAAATATTAGGTGACCTACTGTAATAAAAGTTTAAATAACAATGTTCAAGAGTTCAGTCGCATACAAAAATTGAGAACAAAGCTATGTGTAAAATATTGTTAGCTGAAATCTTACTGAATGGTGTGTAAATAAAGTATACTTTAGTAAATTCCGCATCACTGAAGTAAAGATAACTAACTAATTCCTGAGATAACATAGGTGATCAAATGAACATAGTCTTCTTAAATAATTTATTCATTATATTTATACAACAAAACTATAAAGTAGATGGATCATACTAGTGCTCGATGTAAATACAAAAGCAAAGAAGGGTATAAACAAAGATAACACAGTCTAATGAATAAACAAATAATATATCTGTATCTAATTGAAGATATGAATGTTTACAAACTAAATAAGTCTGATAGAACCAGTTAAAACGATCAGAATACGCAATAATATAATGATCAATTAGTTATATGACGTTTGGAGAATCAAAATTAAAACGAAGTTGAATTCTCATAACCAGTTAATTATTATAAGTTTATCTAGTTGATAATGATCAGCATATAGATAAAACTTCAGCGTTTATTCTAAGGTTCCTGAATTCGATTCTTATATACAACAAAAGCCAAAAGAATCTAACTTTTGTATACAGAAAAAGTTTATACAGTCTTTAAATCTAACCCGGTCTTCTTTTTAGATGCTATCACATGTCTTAAAATATTTCTTCTTCTAGAATCTCTCGAACTTTGATTTTTTTAGCAATTCAATTTCTAAATAAGATCTTACGCAACCTGTTCGATAATTTTGTTACTTCATTTTCACCATACTCGTTCTACTAATTACTTTTCATTAATTTCACAGATAATAAAAACATTTATATTTACTTTCAATTCCAATTCATATTCCTACTCTAATTTAACTGTTTATATTAATTAAGTGATTATGAAAATTCAACTTAGTTTTAATTTTCATTTTCCAAACTAATTGAAGAAACAAACAAACATTTCTTCGCTTAACTTGTCTTTTGAAATCATCAAATAGTCATGTTACATAAATAAAATTTTCGAAGCAACCTAATACAAAAAGCAATATCTATATTGTGCACCAATAAACTGGTGCTTAAAAATCCGTCTTGTATTGGTTGTTTGAATCTTCCCATTGACGGTTATGACTGCAGTTGATCAGTTTCTTATTGACAAATGTACATCCTTTGTGGATTGCCTAGATATTGCCTTCAGTCACAAACATTATAATCAAAAATGAATGGCAGCTAATAGTAGGATCAAGTCTCAAATAGGATGAGATGCGCATCTTGGATTCCACTATTAACCACCATTCATCCAGCCTATCCACAAAATGTTAATAGTAAAATAATCATTAGTAAATTAACACCACTAAAACACCGATATAACATTTGATTGATTATATCAAAACTAAAAGAATAGATTTATAGACATTTTTATTTATTTAGAAAGAAATAAGTAAATAAAATAAGATTAACAATTATGTAATTAGTCATTTGGGAGCTTTGTTGTTTGCTTAATTATATATACTGTAAAATATATTAAATGGGAAGAAACGATCAACAGATTTATAAAATTGTTTGAGCTTTGTTCTCTTTCTGAAAATCAATAATTTATCTGTTTGTCCACACTCTCCATGTTAACTCAAAACCTGTTAGCAATGAAATATGAAACTTTATCTAAAGAAGGACCATGCACATACACATACACACAAACAAACAAACAAAACAATTTTAATGACGAGTCGACCAAATAGTCGAAATTAAAGAAAAAAGTTATAGTTATAAATATATAACTAATGAACAAAGAGTTTTGTGTTGTTGTTGTTGTTGTTGAGTTAACCAATATATGTACAAGAGATCAAACAAGCAAATTGTACATACAGTCTGATTCGATAAAAAAATATTATCCAGCCTATGTTATAAGAAAATAATTCAGAAACACATTGAGTTTATTTTATTCCCTACAATAAGAGAGTGTGATGTTGAAATAAAATTAGATTTTGTTTAAAATTTCATGAAAGAGGAAAGTAACCAAAATAAATGAGATAAAAGATAAATGTAAGTAAATGAATTATTCTAACATATGCTCACTAGTGACTGGCTTCAAGAGGTATATCCTGGAATTCTAGTGGGAAGACGTGACCGACGGAGTTCAACCAGGTCTGTTGTGAGATAGTAACTGACTGATGACAATGGTGGATGTGTCGTTCAATTTCGTGGACTAGTTGAAGTTAGACATTAACACCGTTGGATGCCGGCTCAGTGGTCTAGTGGTTAATTGCTTGCGCGCGAGACTAGTAGGTCCCCAGTTCAAACCTCGCGAGGCGGGATCGTGGATGTGCACTGCTGAGGAATCCCACAATAGGAAGAAATAATCGTCCAGTGCTTCCAGGTTTTCCATGGTAGTCTAGCTCCAACTGACTCATGATCTCAACCATTGAAATTTAAAATTATATTTACGAATAATTTAAATAGTATTAAAGTACTTAAAGTTTCAAATGAGACTGAACTTATCGATAGCATTCATTATGGGCTGGTATCACCAAAATTATATATATATATATATATATATATATATATATATATATATATATATATATATATATATATATATATATATATATGGAGAGAGAGAGAGAAAGAGAGAGAGACTACTTCCGCTTCTCTGGTATTCGTCTCGATGATTTTATGTCGCTGATAAGATGTATATTTTGCCGTATAACAAGACTCACATATTTTTGAATCATGTTGAAGTTAGATACGGGGTTATATGTAAAATTGTAAATCGGTTGATTAGGTAAAGAATTGTCATTGATTGTGGTGGTCTGGACATGAAGTACGTATGCCGAACAATAAAAGCTATCAAGCTCTTACGTTCTTAAATATAGTCAGAAACCATGTAGGATAGAAAACTAAGTCATTCAAGATGTGAACTTATCACTTACGGATATATATTGTAAGATAGGAGTAAACTATCAAATAAATTAAGAAAACGAACCAGTTACTCTGTTACAACATGCCATAAGCTACCATGAGGTTGAACTGAATCTCTGTTTAAAATTTGGTACTTTCTTTCAACTAAGACAAAGAAAGTGAACTTTCAAATGAAGCAGTTACTAGTTTATTTTAGGTGATTTCTATATAAATGTATGGTGAACAAAGTACTTATGCCATGAAGTACTTGTAATCCATTAGAAATAAAGTATACTATCCATAAATTTTTCTTATTTTACTGATATATTCCTTATAAATATAGGCATGAAAGATAAAACAAAGAATGAACATTTCATACACATGGTTCCCTTTATTATCTTAAAGAGAGCAAGACCAAAGATTGGTACAGAATAATATGAATTCATTTCATTTCGTTACGTTCTCATCAGCTGCTTACAACCTAAAATATTTGCAAATCAGAGTTATTATAGATATTGACATACTTATACATAAGAGGGTGATTAAGGATGAACATATGTATCATGATGCAACAGATATCTGCCAAAGCAGTTACATTGACAGAACAGAAAGGAGAGCCTACATCCGATCCAAAGGACATATTCCGAAGAGTTTAAGATCAAACGGACTAAAGCATTCAGCAGTGCCATCGCAAGACATCTCCTTGACACAGGACACGAAGTCGTTCAAGATGATGAAATCTCAGCGCGGATTCGAAAAGCTCGTTTGGCTTTTGCCAACTTACGTCACCTATGGCGAAGGCGAGATATCCGTCTATCAATAAAAGGACGAGTATACTGCGCGGCAGCCCGTTCTGTCTTACTTTACGGCAGCGAAACATGGCCATTAAGAGTAGAAGACACTCGTAAGCTACTAGTATTTGATTACAGATGTAGAAATATAGCTCGCCTCTGCCGGGATTACCAGGTAAGTAATAGTGAGGTTAGACGTAGGGTATTAGGGAATGATGATGGTAAATCAGTTGATGAGGTTGTGAATCTTCATCGACTGAAATAGTTGGATCACGTGTCGCGTATGCCTGAACACCGATTACCACGAAGTGCAATGCTAACCGGTGTTGGAGATGGTTGGAAGAAAGTTAGGGGTGCCAAACCAAAACGTGGCATTAGTGCTTGAAGTCACTAACTTCTAGTCTGAGCCATGCTGGGAGGTGAAAAGTACTTGGTTGGGTTCTATATGACTATTAGAATCAATGGTGACATGGCTCAGAATCGATCACAATGGCGTCAGTGCATACACTCTCTGTCTTTCCTTAAACTAAGAGATTAAAATCGCTTCATATCTTTCTTTCTACGAACTAATTCTTTCTTCCTGTACTATATCCTTATTGCAATCTTTCTTTTATATATTACTACCTCTGAATTAATTAATTTTATGAATCTGGTGTCGTAGCTGACTGACTGAAACCTTTTGAAATCTGCCAAGGCGATAGCAATCAAACGTCTAAAACCAGATCTATGTATACAAAAAGAGACAGTAATGAATATTCTTTGCCCTGGTAACATTAACCCCCTTATTTATTTAATACGTCATTCACTACTCCAACTCTTCTGAATTTTTAAAGTTACATCATTCATGGCTGACTGATTTCAATTCATATCTTTCTTTATTACCGTTAATCTATTTTCAGTTACCTCATTACATAATCATCCAATGTTGTTTTTAATTCCATGAGTTCTAATCACTATTTCAATGTCCTGGAATTTTCCCTCTCAAACTTTATTTATTCGAAAAAAAATTTTATGACCTGATTAGCTCTATCGGAATCTTCGTTACATCATGATACATATATTCATCCTTAATCACCCTCTTATGTATAAGTATGTCAACATCTGTAATAACTTTGATTTGCAAATATTTTAGGTTGTAAGCAGCTGATGAGAACGTAACGAAATGAAATGAATTCATATTATTCTGCATCAATCTTTGTTTTCGCTCTCTTTAAAAGAATGGACAACAAACTTGAGATATTGAGTAATCACTGAACTACATTCCAAGTTTTTAGATCGGAAATCTAACAACCTAAATAAAACTGGTGTTTTCTTGAGAACATAGTCGACATATACTCCGATACAAATATCCAATGGTTTAAGCTGTTATGCTTGTGACAAAATACTAAAACATCAAAAATGGGGGGAAAGATCAACTATAAATACAACTGTTGTAAATCCTAGTAAGAATTTTGTAACTGGACTGGAATAGTATAGTGTCAG